AGGATGTCTGGAGGGGGGGGGGGTGTGGAGGAGTAGGGAGTATAGGGACTGACTTTATTACTTTGTTTCACGATACCAATACTCAACTTGTCCACTGTTTCAATGATAGTACATAACAAGATGGGCCACTTCTCTCTTTGAGCCAATTAAAAAAGTGTCCTCAAAATTTGGTGGCGCCCTCTTCACAAAAGCGCACTCTTTGCGAACAGAGTTACCCTACTTGAGTGTTAAAAAATCAAAGTGAAACTAGCAAGTTTTGGGATATATTTCGGAAGAACGCTTTTTTAAAATGGTTACGCTGACAAAAAACCTCTTCCGGAGGAAAGGGTGATGGTTTTCTTCGTTTAATTTGACTTTAGAATGAAAGGCGAGAGGTCATTAAAATTTAAAAAACCTAAAACTCCGCACTGAACGTACCCGAACTGCTGATGAACAGCAGTCGATCTGCGCACGCAAGGAGGTGCTATTCCTATTCTTCTTCTGGAAAAACGAAAGAGAGCTTCAAAACAGACTGCAGCGCCATCTGAAGCAAAGAGCATACTTCCTACGGACACTTTTTTGGCTGAGTGGCCCATCTTGTTATTCACTATCTTTGACTGTTTCACGAGACCAGTAGCCAGTTGTTTATTTGTTTTACGATACCAGTTAGTAGTCAAGAGTTTATTTTTTGTTCCACGATACCAATAGCCGACGTGTCTGCTGTTTTACGATACCAGCAGTCGACCTGTTTAATTTATTTCTTGATACCAGTAACCAATTGTTTATTTGTTTCACGATACCAGAAACCGTTTATCCATTGTTTCCCGATACCAGTAACCCTCTTGTTCACTGTTCTACGATAACAGGAGCCGACTTATCGAGTGTTTCACGATACCAGCAGCCGACGTGTAATTGTTTTGCGATACCAGAAGCCGACTTATCGAGTGTTTCTCGATACCAGTAGTTGACATGTGTAATTGTTTTACGATACCAGTAGCAGACTTGTTTAGTTGTTTTACGATACCAGTAGCAGACTTGTCACCATGTTCACGAGACCAGTAGCGCAGTTACATGATGAGCACTGCCAGGCCTGCCTATGTTACGCTCACTTCTAATCCGATTTTCCGGTCAGTAAATAATCTATTTTCCCCCCCACTGGAATCCTATTTCCTCCTGACCTAACGAACGTGACGAGAGGATTTGTGAGACGGAGCACAATGATGTTATATACTGGCCGTGCCATGTGAGTGCATCGGGTGGGGCAGGGTGGGGCAGGGCGGGGCAGGGTGCCTGGGCCGGGCGAGAACCTTGTCGCCTCCTGCCCTCGTTTCTGACATCGGATCAAGCGCCGTAGGTTTAGTTAATTAGCCCCTCAGTCCACTCAGGCCTCACTCACAGTCCACTGGTGGGGCAACGGGCTGAGAAGTGATGACGTAAGCTGGGGGGGGGGGAGTTAATCGTGTCACTGTGACTTCTGCTCTGCTCGTGTGTCTTTGTCCGGACATTGCCTTGTCAGCCTCTCAAATCCCAAAGGCCTACTTCGATGTACTTTTTTTAGAAGTGCCTGATTTTACGCACCCATCGATACAGTTTAGATCATTTAGGAAGCGGGCTTCTGGCACCGGGCAGAAAGGAATACAAGACCTCAGCAGACAGACCCGGGCTGAGAGTGATGCAACTTCCCAACAGAAAGACGGGGGTACTCTGTTGAAAAGAATTCTCCCAATTTGGGAATGCAACTCAGCTCTCCTGTGTGCGAGGGCGATGTGGGTGCCAGGTAAAGCACAGACGCCGGTACATACATCAAGTGGAAGAGCTGACACACAGTCGGGCAATTTGTGCCCTCTCTACTCGGGTTCGAGGATCTTGTGTCAGAATCTCCGCAAGTGTTATAGTTATAACACACGAAAAGAATATTCTGGGTATTTATTAATAAGGAATTTTCTAGAACACTGGTAACAGGTGTTTGAAAAAATTGTGATATGTTCAGACAAATTTGAACCAGTCATTGTGCAAAAGCGGGAGAGTTCATGTTCGATAGTTTGGGAAATATTCGACAAGTTACTCCACGAATTTTGGACCGTACTGTTGTGTCGTCTAGCGATGCAGTGAGAACAGTCAACAGGAGAAGACCGACAACCCCCCCCTGCCTTGAGAGAAAGACAGTCATTGGATACTTCTTTGTATGACTACAGTACCTTTTCCACTTCCCCTTTCACCTTTTTGTAACAAATACGTTTTGTCAACTATAATAGCACGTGTGCAGCTGTATGATACTTAATTTTATTTCTCCTCAATTTTGTTAAAGGGTACTGTAAAAACTAAATTAATGTGTTTTATTAATGAGAAAGAGAAATAGAGTAACTAAGCCCTAGAAAGTAACTAAAATGCTTTCATACCACTTCCATGGTGCACATACGCATCAGAAGAAGAAGAAGAAGAAGAAGAAGAAGAAGAAGAAGAAGAAGAAGAAGAAGAAGAAGAAGAAGAAGAAGAAGAAGAAGAAGAAGAAGAAGAAGAT